GGTCTCTGGTTGTCAATTGTTTAATGTTCGGGCGGGTTGTTGTGTTTTCTCTGAGTTCCTAGGTTAAAAATACCGAACAAAAATGTTTTGATTCATGTAAAATTTTGCTTCCACTTCACAATTGTATACCACTTTGTGTTGGTCTTTCACATTAAATTCCAGTGAAATATATCTATGTTTGTGGTTGTAATGTGACAAAATATGKAAAAGTTCAAGGGGTATGAATACTTTTGCAAACCACTGTATATATAGACTGAGGCTGTTGCTCAGACTTAAAATAAATTTGAAGCTAAGTTTTTGAAAAGTCATCACGATTTTTTCTGTAAGTCCTTGAGAACCAAAAATTGCTAAATTTTGTATAACTTACAGAAAACCTGTAGGACTTGACACGTATGCAAAATATACCTTTAAGCAATACAAAAGTAACTTTGTTTACTTTGTTGGAATTAGGTTTGTAGCATAGAAAGGCAGCAAGTCATTAGAGAACATGCAGCATGCACAGAAGCTGTATTTGGTCACTTGACTGAAATCATGTTTAAAATTCATATTTTGTAAATAAAATGTCAAGATATACTTGGAAAGTATGACTGCTTTACAGTAACAATTGTTCAGATGAGCTTTATGCTGCACTTTGTTTCACAATTCACTCAATTGAATATATTTCTTTTTTTTTCTTGTTTTGCAACTTCAAATTACTGCTCAGAGTTTATGGTTTATGATGTAATAACTGTAAAATAATTTACTGTTTATATTAAGATTTATGTGCTTCAAACTGGAAGATGTAAAACAATTTTGTTGCAGCTGAACAAGTGAACAAATGGCTAAACTGTTTGGATTTTTGGTTGTAAACATCATGGTCTTATTCAAACATTTTGCTGTGAGACTTTCAGTTAATAATCAGTGGTAACTTTTGTAAAACGTGTTTTTACACTTGTTTTCTTTATTTGTTTTGGTGTCGATGCTCAATCTGCACTTTCAAAAGTTTTCACAAAATAATGCAAAAATTTTTTACACCCATATTCTTTTATTTTGTGGCCTTTCAGCTTACACAGATTAATAAAGTAAAATGGGGAAAATATTAACTGAAATTTGCAACACTTTGTACACAAATTTTGAATTTTAATTGATATTTTTGTCAGCCAGTTGCTGATACGTTTCTATTGGAAATTGATGCATAACAAAATGTCCCCAAAACAAACACAACTGGTCTCCGAAACCAGCTCATCCTTTCCCGTGTTTTTAATGTAAACAGAAGGCACCAGACTGGTCCCTGTGAGGACGGAGAGGGTTTTTTTTAAGGTAGCTGAAATCAGAAAAAGATTCAAAGAGGGCACTGAACGAAAACTGTCCCACTCCAGTGACGTTAAAATGACTTCATTTGCATCCAGTTTAGCATATAGTGTGGCGTTCTCCCAGAATGAACAGCATGACTAATATCTAGTACAATGTTTGCTCAGGAACAAGAGTGCTCTCCTGCTCATATAAAACATCTGCTCCGTGATTCCACCCACAGCCTGG